CGGTGCATCAGGAGGCCTCCGTTGGACATGTCCGAACCACCTCAGCCGATGTTGAACCAATTTCTCCTCAATTGGAGCCACCCCGACCCTATCTCGAATATCCTCATTTCGAATTCTACCCCTTCTTGTGTGCCCGCAAAACCAACGCCGCATCTCTGCTACACTTAGTTGTTGGACATGTTCCCTTTTTGTAGGCCAACATTCAGCACCGTATAGCATCGCCGGGCGAATCGCCGTCCTATAGAACTTACCTTTTAGCCTTTGTGGCACCCTCTTATCACAAAGAACGCCCGAAGCTTGACGCCATTTCAACCAACCGGCTGCAATTCTATGCCTAACATCTTCATCGATGCCGCCATCCTTGTGTAGCATCGATCCTAAATACCGGAAAGTCTCCTTCTCGGCCACCACTTGCCGTCAAGGCTAACGTCACCATCATCATGAGTAGCCATGCTGAAAGCACACGTCATGTACTCGGTCTTCGTCCTACTAAGTCTGAAGCCTTTCGACTCTAACGTGTCCTTCTATAGCTCTAACTTCCTATTTAATACCCCTGCCCTACTCTCGTCAACTAGCACCACATCATCAGCAAAGAGCATAGACCAAGGGATATCACCTTGTATGTCCCTTGTGGCCTCATCCATCACCAAGGCAAATAAATAAGGGCTCAATGCTGACCCCTGGTGTAGTCCTATTTTAATTGGGAAGTCGCTGGATATGACAACTTGAGTTGCATTACAGGTGAGCATATTAGGTGGTGTGTGAAAGGACATTGACCGGACATGGACGATTTGAATCGGCCTCTTCAAAGACCTAGACGTACAAAATAGGTCGGGAGGTGTTATCGAACCCCCATATTAATATTAGTTACTGGAACATTTTGATGAGGATTTCCCTATGAGTTTTCCATTTAGCAATTCGACGACGAAGTCGGTATCCAAATGAAAACGATGAACAATAGATATATAAGTTTGTAAAAGTATATTAGAGCGTGCAGAGTGTAAATAGACATTCATCACCCTATTATATAGGGGTGTTACCTCGTTGCCTAATACTGCCCGGATGGGCTGCCCCATCGTACTGCCCTGGTACCCGAACTACCAAATTACATTAGGACATGTGGTCCAATCCATGTGTATTTATTATCTTAATTATATTCCTCTTACCCATGAGTTTGTCTCATTAGATGGTCTAATTGTATGACCAATCTGACTTCTTTCGAGGTAGATTGTCTTCCACGTTAAGCTCATGAACTCTATTTCTTTAGTTGATCCATCGACCTGTGTGCCTTCAGATCGAGTTTCTACAGGACATTCGAGTGTCCTAACTCGATCTATTGGCGGTCCTTTTTACCTCTAACATCTTCGTCGACTTGAGGAATTTTCGACCTATAGCTCCTTTAGTCCGATCGACCTACCGGTTCACCCAGTTCAGTTAGCTGATTTCTCGAGGCAAGTCAACCCGTTATGGTATCACATATCATATGATTTCTCCCACACTAGTCGAGTTACGATAACTCAATCTAAGAGTAAATACAACTATCTTCGCTCCTGCATATTGAGCATACACCTTGTCTAATTAACCACCTCACTCGGACTTCTTTTTATTTAATGTTTTCGACCTTCGGCTGAAGTATTGAGTTCAAATTTTAAATTTTAAATCTCTGTCTCGTTTCTACATAATCACCTCGTCAATCATGTCCTCGTGCAGTGTACCCATTAAAATGATGCATTAATGTCGCCCATCCGATTTTCCTTTAATCCAACGGTTGTAAGCGCGTTGTCTTTTGAACTTACCCTATCGCAATCTCATTCGTTTATTTAGACCTTGACGTTCCTACTCGACTTGACCTTTCAATTGACGCTTTTAATCTTGACCATTCATTTCGACCACGATCCGACAATTATGGTCAATCGACCTCTCGCACTTCCTCTTCCCTACCCATAAATAAGAACCTTAGCTAAAATTTTAAGTTTTTCCACCTTTGCAAAAAATCTATTGTTATAATTCTCTCCATATTTCTGCATAATTTGAAGTCTTCGCCGATACTATTCTGCCGTCGACCATAAAATCATAAAATAAACAAAAAATTAAACCAAAAGATTGTTCAAGGGGATAACATACAAATACCCAAATAAAAATAAACAAAAAAAAAAAAATCATAAAATCCCCTTTGGGGAAATTTGTTCAAGGTGGTTTGTGTGAAACTAAAACATTTCGCTCAAGAAGACGCCGACCATAACATATAAAGCCAATAGATCCAATAAAATTATTGTTGGTTTTCTTTCACCAATAATGTAACATCAAACAACAAAAAGATCAAAACAAATTAAAATTTTCTGGTTCACAATCCATAACACAATCCATGAGCCATCAAACAGCAAAAAGACCAAATCAAAACTTTTTTGTTCCACAGTTAAGTTCAAACAGAAGCATAGGAGAAGCAAATAAGCTCAAGAAAGTGTGATTGTTTATGGATTGAATTAGTTTTTATTTGGTTTATTTTTAACTATAGTTAATTTTGAAAAAATGTGGTATGGTTAGTTGTTAGTGGATATATTAAAATAATATTTAAATAAAATAATTAAAGTTGATTTGATGTAAAGTAGGAAAAAAATTATTGGAAGTGATAGTTAGTTAGAATTATGTGAGTGGATGAATAATGAATTAAAGTTGATGTGCTTTGTAAAAATGATTGGTTGATATTATTTAATTATATTGATAATATTGATGATAGTGAGGTTGAGTTAAAATTGAGTTAAATTTGAGTTTAAAATAAGTTTTTTACTATTGAACTCATATACAATCACACTTGCTTGCAGTTATAAGAACCTTTAAGGGAAAATTTAAAATAAATGAATGTCTATTTGTACATTAATATGACATAAAAAATGGATGAATTAGAAGATAACAAATCTAAGAAAAGTAGAACTCGTTGAAGCATAAATACAAAAAAACACAATCAATGACTATGGCTCGTATCCAACTAACATCAGTAACAACGAAAGAAAACGAGAGAAAAATATTGCATGAATTAGAAAAAATATAAAAAATTCAGAAGGTTTCAGACGGGCTGACTGGATCCTGGTCGTTGGATCTCAACGATCAGATTTGAAAATTAGTCGTTGGCGGTTCCGGAAGGGCCGGTTTGGAACCACAATTGGGCTTGGAACTTTGGTTAACAAAAAAAAAAATATATATATATACTAAAATTTGACAATTGGATCTCCAACGATAAGAAAGATGCAACGTTTCAGATTCAATATGGTTCGTCGGGCTGCCAACGGTTATTAGCGGGTCCGAGGCCAGCCCAACCCGACCCAAAATAATAAAAAGTTAAAAAAAAAATGACTGGTCATCTCTAGAGCCAGTTTCGAGCCGACCCTGACCAAGCACGACGGTTCAAAAATTCATATATAGGTGGCCCGGATCCAACCGGTAAAATTACGGGCTCAGTTCAAGGCCCGTCGACCTCGAGCCGATTCACGGTCGGCCCGTGGCCATGTGTATCCATCACTTTTAATCAACTCTCTCCTACTTTTAAATTAAATTAATTTTAGTTATTTTATTTTACATATTATTTAATATAGGGAAAAAAATTGACCCACCAGAACTTTAGGGTCTTTTTGACTTTGCAACCTAATCTTTTATTTTTGATAATTGCAACCTCAACTATACATTATTGATAAATACCAACTTCGGCCATCGAAATTGGCCGAAAACCTCCTTAAGCGGCGGAGCTGGCAACTTTTGTAAGGGTACACTTGTAATCTTACATTATATATCGTTATAAATATATCATTTCTTCAATCCGCTTATCCAAGTTTTTTCCCAATTTCATAAGAACCTTAACCCTTAATTGTTCAAATGGAGTGGAGGCAAACAACTGAGCATATCGTGGAAAGGTTTTGCCGTTGCGGAAAAAATAAACCGAAAACATCAAATCCCTAAACCATCCCAGAAAGTGTCAACTAAATTAAGTTCAGAAAACTTACCGTAATCTGGAAAAAATGTATTATTTGTGATAGTCGTGCGTTTCTCACGAATTTTTTAAACCATTTCGCTGAAGAACCAAAGATTTAGGTTTGTGAAATTGGGAAAATTGTGAAATTTGGGAAATCGGGATTTGAGATTGAAGAAATTAGGGAGGAATGATATTCTAATAGTATGATATGATATAAGATTACAATTTTACCCTTAAGCTCAACCGTTTCGGTGGCCAAGATTGGTATTTATCAATAACGTATAGTTGAGGTTGCAATTTATCAAAAATAAATGATTAAGTTGCAAAGCCGAAAAGCCCTAAAATTCAGGTTGGTAAAATTTTTTTTCCCTTTAATATAAATTCAAAATTTCACCCAAACTTAATTTAACCAATCTTTAAATTAGTTATACTTAACCAAAATAATCAATCAAAACCCAA